ACATGTGTACCTGCTTTCTTGGGATATATTATGGCACTTGAATATATTTAAACTGTTACCAATATATTTTTATTTTTCATTTGTAGAGCATATTGATGCCAAAAAGGCAGGTGATCTTTCTACTCTATTTGATGTTGGAGGAATTTTTGGTGAGTGTGCACCTATGACCTTTTTATTATTGAAACCTACACATATATGAGTCTTTGGATTTTTAGATCAAATTCTGAAGCATTAGAGACAAGAAATACTTTAAAACAGGGAGTAGATGCTGATAATTAAAGCTTGGTTGCTGATTTGAGAAAATTATTGGAGTGTGTCTTTAATGGAACTGTCAGATTGCCTCAACTTGAACCTTTAAGTAAGAATGATCTTTGACTCCATTTGATGAGAAAGGTATAGTTTACTAAAGGTCAAGTGAAATACAACAGAGCAAAGCCAGAACTGAAATTTGCATATCAAATCCCCGTCTTAGGCACTTCCCATTGCTGCCCTCCCATCGTCCAATCAATTTCAAAGAAGATGTTTTTGAAATGGTGACTCTGGGTGTAAGCTGGCTTGCAGCTGCATTCTTCACATAGCGGAGTGATGGAGTGACCTTGAAACGGTGTCTCAGACAAACACAACTTATTTCCCTTACTTCCACTTTTCCCCAAGCATTCTCTGTCCCTTCCACCTTCCCCTGGGGTCCATGCAGACTGAGCAATAGTAAAGTGCAGGTGTGAGGTTTGGCAGAAGTTTTGGATGAGAGTGATGGTTTTGATATTTTATAACAGTTTGTATGGGGCAGAAAAGTAGGCATCATTGGAATATATTTGAATATATTCTTAGATAGAATATAGTTAAATAGAAATTGCAGCATTCAGAACTGATGTAGAAAAATAGTTCTGTAAAGTCTATGAATGGATTCAGGAACAATATTATCTTTCCTATATTAAGTAAAAGATTGGTGAAAATATAGTGGCATATCTTATGTCATGATAAGAAAAATATATTTGGGAGCAAACAGTGATAACTGAAGTAATGGAACAAATACTACTGTTAACAGAGTAGAAATTGAACATTTATAGGGTTCAGCAATGTGATTTATGTAAAACTCCCATCACTTTGAAATCAGCTCTGCTCCTTTATGATTTACTTAGTGTGTGAGAGAACTGAGCTTATTTATTTCTGGCTCAGCTGTGCTGTATTTCATACTATAATAAAAAAATTTGAAATGCTGCTGCTCTTTCTAGTTCATCATTTTTAGGCACCCTCATCCTTTCTTGATCCTAGCAAGATTTTCAAAGGAAAAATGATCTAAGAGTTTTTCATTTAATCCTCATAGGAAGTGCTCAGATTTCTTTGTGCATATTTGAAAATAAAACATACAACATAAACAAAGGCTATGATGGAGATGCAAGTGGGCTATTCTCATTTTTTAAGAATCAGAAGTGAAGGATCCCCCCACACATCTACAGCAGAGATAGTGTTTATTTATAGTGTTGTTTTGTTCAGTTTTGAATGTGCAAAGAACATTGCTACATTGTGCACCTCTCTCTTTTTTATACAGGTGGAATTTTAGCAGGTGTAATATCAGACCGACTCAAAAAAAGGGCTACAACTTGTGGTATGATGCTGTTGATAGCTGGACCCACTGTAAGTTATGAGATGCTGGAGGATGATGATGATGGAAGTGTTGATGACTTTTTAAGTTACCGTATTTTTCAGAGTATAAGACACTCCGGAGTATAAGACACACATTAGTTTTAGGAGAGGAAAATAAGAAAAAAAAATTCTGCCTCTGCCTACCAGCATCCATTGGTATTCATCTGGTTAGCATCCTTAGTAAACAGCCTGGTCAGCTTCAGCACATTATCGCAGCCTGATTCAGCACAAGCAGCTGATTTGCGGGGGGATCAGCCTCCGGAATACTCCTAATCAGCTGTTCCTAGAGGTGAACATTAACAACCAATTCACCAGTGACATGCAGTGAGGTTTATGGCCAGTGAGGCAAGCAGGCAAAAGCCGCCCAATGTCTTCCAGTGCCGGTGCTTCGGCGGGGCTTTCAGAAAGCCGTGCCAAAGCCCCGGCATGGCTTTCCAAAAGCCCCGCCGAAGCCCCGCCGCTGTGTCCACCATGCAGGCGGGACGTGTCCCACTCTATGGCGGACACGGCACTGGGACTTTGAAGCCCTGCCATCATGTCCGCCATACAGCGGAAAGCGTCCCACTCTATGGCGCCAGGACTTTAAAGCCCTGCCGTTGTGTCCGCCATAGAGCGGGATGCATCCCGCCTGTATGGTGGACACAGTGGCGGAGCTTCGGGGGCCACCTGAGTGGCCATGATCCCCCTTCCCAGCCAGCCAGCCCACCCATCCCCGCCTGACCTACTCCCCGCCTGGCCGACCGGCCGGCACAAGACCTCACCGCTCTCCTCCTCCTCCTCCCCGCTCAAGTGGTGGCGGGCTCTGTGGGACAACAGGGTCTCATTCCTCCCCCGGCGCAGCAAGCTCCAGCGGGCTGGATGCGGGTGTGAGGGGCCTGGCTCTGCGGTGCCTCCTCGCTCAATTGCAGCTGACGAAGAAAGGGGAGAGGGGGAGGAGGAGGAAAGTGGAAGGGGAGCATGACGGGGCTCCCAGCGGGGGGAGAAGAGAAAGGGAATGGAGGCACAGTGGGCAAAAGAAAGAAAGCGACAGCCCGCCAGCAGAGGCGGGTAAAAGACCCACCTCTGCTGGCGGGCTACCCCTCTCTTCTCAAACAAACTCNTGTGTGTGTGTGTGTGTGTGTGTGTGTGTGTGTATTCCTAGATAAAAGCAACTACAAGCAGTTATTGGGAGCCCTGGATTACTCATTTCTCTGTGCTTACGCTGTCGGAATGTATCTGAGGTACATTTTCTTACTCTTTATCTTGCTTCATGAGTTCAGGGTGTCAATACAGAATATTATACCATTGTTGATCTTGGTCAGCATTTTGCTTAGAGGTTTCTGGAAAGCAAAGAGAATATTACTGAATGAGAAAGTTTGGAAGAACCAAATCAAAACATGAAATTTTTCCTATTGCAATTAAAGTTGAAAGAAATATGACTTCATAATCTCATGAAATCTCATGAATTTGAATGTGTTTTGGGTGAGAACTGACATTGATTCAATTCTCTGCAAAACCACAAAATATTTCAGATGCCTGTGATTCTTGCTGCCACTGCTAAGCTATAGTATTCCATTTTGAAATTTGAGAAAACTATTTTGGACTGAATAAAATAATTCATTTTAAGTCAGTTTTATGTCTATGTGTGTAAAATAGAGTACACCAAAAAGTATTTGTTTAGGCCACTCAAAAATCTATGCTTTAATGACTTAAAATAATTGTCATCCTGTTATTTGCTTTTCACTGAGGGTCTTAAAGCCTCTGTGCCCCTTTCCTACCTCTTCATGTTTTGTAATAGTTGTGATTCAACAAGCTGTCCTTTGATATCATAGATATTGTTGGACCTGATTATACTGGAGATATTTTTAATAATCTTGGGAAAATATTCTTGAAATTAAATTTGAAACTTACATTTTGAGGATTTTAATAATTTGTAAGAGTTTGGTTTTCGGAGAACTATGATAATGATTAGTTTTAGTTCAATATACATTCAAAATTAATCTTCTTTTTAACCTTAATTTAAAGTGGCATAATAGGGGAGCGTTTGCCTATTCGATACTATCTCAGTGGTGGGATGCTTGCCAGTGGATTCTTCACTGCATTATTTGGAATTGGCTATTTCTGTAACATACATAGTTTGTGGTTCTACATCATTGCTCAGGTAAGCATGACTTGGTTATTTTTCCAAACCTTTCAAATACAGTCTATGAATATAAATGCATCTCTGCTGCTCCCTTTTCTTCTTGATGTTCACCAACCATAGTTTGGAGGTATTTTAGTATTATTATTACATAGCTATTGTGGCTAGTAACTATTAATTAAGTGGTCTTACATGGCTCATCTAATTTTCTTTTTTAACAATTTTATTTTATTCAAAAAATAAAAAATCCAAAAGAAAAAAAATTGAACAAAGAAAAAAACTATATAAAAACATTGAAAATAATGTGAATTTTAAAAAAGGACCAAAACACATATCACCCCCACCCAGTTGGACATTGACAAATCAATTGCAACAATAATAAAAGAAAGGTCCTTCTTTCTTGAAATACATTTACCAAACCAGTATATACCATGCCAAAATGTAATCATATTATAGGTTTATATAAAAGTGTTATGATATTAGATTTCTCCAGTTCATTTCTTAGTGATTCCTGCTTTCATTGAATATTCTGCATAGCAAAACTACGGTTTGTAAAAGTTACCAAGGAAAATCTCTTCTGTTCTTTGACAGAAACATTTACATATTATTATTTTCTTTGGTAAAAGAATTTCTATTATTATTTGATATAAAAAATTGTATTATTCTTTCTGCAGATAAACATATTTCTTAAAATCTTAACTGTTTTGTAGTTATTCTGAGAATTTATGCAATAGTATATCCTGAGACAGATCTTTTTTTTACTCTGAGGAGAAATTTTATGATCCATTTTATCTGTTTTGCAGCCCAAAGAGTTCTAGCAATAGTCTAGACTACTATTGATTAAAAGCAGTTGATAGTTAGGAAATAGAAGAATTCAAACTAATTTCTAAATCTGACTTTAAAAGCTGGATCTTTCATTGAAAGTAGCTGGACTTTGCATTGAAACAAAAGACACATGTTGTATCATGTATTTTGTAGGAGTCTATTTCCAAAACAATATATAAATAATTTAAAAAAAAGTTACCTTCAATTCTTACTCTTCCAAAGTACATATTTCCTAATGAGGAACATAAATCTTTGGTAAAGCAGAAGATGCCTAGTGTAGTCGAAAAGATGTTGCATTTTATGTCAGCTCTACTATTTAATAACTGAGAGGATTGCTACCTGCTTCAGAACTAAATAATGCTTGATTATTTATTCTCTTTACGAGTCATGCATAAATCAATACTCCTTTCACTTTTGCACCTTTGGCACTCCTTCAATTAAATAGATGGAGAATAAAAATATCACATAGTAAGCGCCCTTCTCTTGCACAGCAATTACTCCATATACTTCAAAATTACCCAGAAAAGTCAAATTATAATGACTAATTTAATATACGTAGTACTGACAGAAAAGGTAGTACAACTATGAGGCCTGTAATCTAGATGATATATTGTGTTAATTAATAATCATAATATATTTTTTCTGGAATGTGTACCATAAATTTAAATATTATATTTAATATTAGCTTATTGTACTCTACATTGTAGCTATGAAATATTTTGCTGCAGGATAATCTTTGTCCTTAAAAACTTTTCAGGTAGCTAATGGATTGGTACAAACTACTGGCTGGCCCAGTGTGGTCACCTGCATTGGCAACTGGTTTGGAAAAGGAAGGTAACTTCTCTATTTTTCTCTCTCTGGGTAGAGAGGAGAAATCTTTTGTTAAAAGCCAAGTAACTAATTCTAATAAAATAATGCTTTATCATACAGCTAAACTCATATATTATAAATGTTGTGTTTTAACCATAAAATTGTGAAATGAATTCTCCTTTATATATGAATGAAATGTCTAACATGTTGGCTGTCCTAATGAACAATTGCAACCCTGGGCAATGGATAATAAATAAACAACAAAATAAACAGATAATAAACCAGTATACTTAAAACATTAACTGAAATTAACAGCCAACCGGAAACTCTCTTACTTTACATCAACCAACTTGGTTCCAATTTTTTAGGGTTGTCTTGAAAACTAAAGAGATTGGGTCCAACTAGTGGGGGTGGTGGGGGAGGTGAGAGATTGTTCCAGAGGGCAGATACTACAGTTAAAAAAGAATACTTCTCCTCTCCCATCAGATGACATTGTTTCCAAGAAGAGTCCCAGAGCATACCCTTCCTTCTAAAGCATTGTGGGATGGAGAAATTCCATCAGGAAGAGGCATTCCCACAGATATCCCAGTCCTGTACACAGTTGCACAAAGGCCCTCTTGGCCATGACTGACACCTTGTGTAGTTATCTGAGAGGAGTAACCACACAAGGCCATATCTTACGAACAACTCAGCACAAATTTGCAGAACTTATCCACTGAGTGCCAAGAATGGTCATCATAGCAGTCTATCAGTACTCTTTCTCCTCTTCATCAGAAGGGAACAAGTTAGCCTGAACAGAGCAAGTGAATGACACTCAAAGGATAAAATAAAAGCAGGGGCATAAGCATGTTTTGCTATAGCCATAAGGTCATCTTTAAGAGAGAGCCAGTTTGATGTTGTAGTTAAGGATAGAAAGTAATAAACTGTGAGTTCTATTCCTCTCTTAAGCCCAAAGCCAGCTGGGTGACCTTGGGCTAGTCTCTTTCTCTCAGTCCTAGGAAAGAGACAATAGCAAACCACTTCTGAAAAACCTTACCAAGAAATTTGCATGGACTTGCTTTTATTT